AGCCAGTCTATTAAATGGCTAATATCAGGAAATATTAAAAGGATACAGGCTACAATCAAAAGATACCCCTGCCTAAGTAGACAGACCTTCTCCTTGCAACCAGAGAGTATATGTTTTCAAATCCTGCATCTGCCTGAGCCTTATGTTCCCTTCTAACACTTCAAAAACAAGACAGGATGCAACATGCCACTCAGGGAATGGTGGTGGAAACAGAAACTACGCTCGGAAAGAAACAAATTTAATTGGAGGGCAAGGAAAAAGTGTGAATTCTTGATTTCAAGGATGAAGAATTGTTTCTGTTGTTACAGAATATAACATATGCAACTCCTTAAAAGTTTCAGGGAATAAAATAACCTTGTACTCCCTTTCTGAAACCCCCCATGCTTTAATTAGGAATTGATTAAGACATGGTAAACACTGGCTGTTATGCTGCACCTTGTCCAAAAGTACAAGTGAATCCTTGGAAACACATTCTGACTCGCCAAAAGCTTTCCAAAATAAAAAGAGATGTTATATTTTTTTCAGAGAGAGACAAATCCCACAACTTTAATAGGAAGACCACATCATAATTAGTCCAACAGCTGTAGAGACCCCATTCCTACAGGGAAAAAATGCTATAATCCAGCCTTTCCCAACACAGTGTTTTCCTGATCTTTTTTGGAATTGCAATTCCATAATTCCCATCCATCATGGCTGGGAGTTGCTATCCCAGCACATCCGGAGGACATCATGTTCAGTAAGGCTACTCTTACCTTATGTTTTTAAGATATCCAGCAAAAGTTTGGTTTATCAAATATCAATAGTTTGGAAGTCAACTTAGCAGAAAAGCTGTTTCTAAGCCAGTCTTCCACAACCTAAGCCCTCTCTAGTTTGTGGACTTCGGTTCCCAGAACTCTCAACAACACTATGCTGGCTAGTGTTGTGGAAGTTTTTCTACACTTCTGAAGATTACCAAGGCTGGGAAAGCTTATTCTAAAATGTATGGCTCTCAAGCAGTGAAAACCATTCCAAGGCTTTAATGAAATCTGAATTATGCCAATGCAATTGACAAAAAAATGTTCACACCCCCCAACAGCCACATGAAAACCAGCCAAGTTCCATACACGTTTTTAGAGTAATCAATCTGGTTCATGATTCTATAGCCATTTAAGGCAGAAAAATTATTTCAACATCAAAAAAGGAGAGTACCTAGACAGCTCTGGCTATAACCATCGCCATCATCCCCATAAAGATAAAATTTGCTTTGCACTGAGCTTGACTCCTCATGTTATTTTCTTAGCAACACTATGGGCCTTTTCTGGGAATATTTTCCAACTTTCCAGTCTAGTCTACCATTCCTGGAATTTCCTGATGGTCTTCTTTCCACGTACAGCCAAGTCCAACCCTCATTTAACTTTATCTGAAATCAGCTAAGGTTGGTTAGGTGCTGCCTTGTGCTATGATACCAGTACTATGAATGTTGAAATAGAGATACTTAAACCTTCTATATCACAAGCAAACTCTACTGCAAGATCAGAGGACACTTTTCATGCACTTGATTACAGCTTCCAGTCACTGATTCAGACTAGAATTTAGTTGGAGAAGTTATATAATTAGGTGTCAGTGGTATCTTGATGGTACAGATCTATAAACATATACAGAACAATTTCATGTACATTCATTAGGAATAGTACTGATATTATTACAAGTGACAGCCCTGACACTAGTAAGTAAACTATTGTCCCTCAGAGGTTTTGAACTATTATACCTCCACAGTCTCTTGCCACTGGCCCCAGCAGCTGGAGCTGATGACACTGGCATTTAGAACATGAAGGGCACCTGGCATACATCAATTGCCAGAGAAGTGAGATAGCATCTCCAATTATCACTCTCTAAGTTAAGCTAGACAAAAGCAAGCCGTAGTAATAGACAGCATGCGACAAAACTATAAGACCTAAACTGACTGAACCACAATACCAAGAGTCTCCGAAAAATCTAACAGGATCCAAAGAAAGGTTTATGTCTCTGTTTATTTCTTTTTGTAGATCATCAGGATTACTGAACTTTGCATGTTTCATAACTAAGCCAGATCAAACTGAGAAAGACTAAAAAAAAAACATGTTTCATTCATAAAAGATGACAGTAACTTTCCTCCTCACACTCTACACTTCTATAAAAAGAAGACTGGGTCCCAGCTTAACACTGGTCTGAATCACTTTAGGACAGGGGTTCCTAAACATTTTGCCATCAAACCTCCCTTTAGTGTAATCCTAATGTACACCACTGTCTATTCATTACTTTGTAGTACCTTCAGAAACCTGTCTGGCACATATTCTGTTGTTATGGAAGTTGTGGCAGTCACAAACTCAAATACCTGGTGTTGTCCATATGCTTTCAAATCTACATCTGGATCCTTAATGCTCTGAAAATTTTTACTGTGACCCCCATTCTAGTTTATCTGCTTAACATTTAATTAAAACTCTCACTTCTACCACAGCCAATAAGAACCTTGACATCTAGGCTACTGTATCAAGGCCTGAATTAACAACAGGCTAATTAGAAAAATGTCTCCCTTCAACACCTAACTCCCAGGCAACTTGAACTAAAATCAGTGGTGTCTTTCAGGGGAGGCATGGCGAGCTAAACACATTTCCATGGGGAGCGGGGATGACGAACGCGGCAAAGACCAAAAAACTGGTAAGTAGTTCGGTTCTTCAGAATCTCTCCAGACAAGGAGAGGATGGGAGATCACTCACATGCGCTCCAGGTGGCTGCTCCTCATGAAGAGACTGCAGGACATCAGTCTCCCACAGGTTTGAGTGCTGGGAGACGAAGGGATCAGTCATCAAGCTCACAACCGCAGTGGAGCCTTTTAAAGGACACTAAGTTCACTAACCTCACTTCTAATCACTTTCAGAAACTGCTTATCTAACTATCTTAAAGCTATTAGAGATCTTTGGAACAACAAGGTTGAAAAGCCGCTGGCCTATCTTCATTTCTGAACAAAAGAAAAATTAACTAAAAGTTTAAGAACTTAAAAGAATTTGAAATAAATGGCAAAAAACTAAATAAGATTTTGAACCAAGAAAGTTATAAACAAATTAAGGGTCCAGACAAATTTGGAAT